ATGCCTACAAGTAATTTGGTTCACTTAAATTAACCTGGAGGGCAACGCAGGGTGTGTCCTGAATCTGAAGCGACACTTCCTCCCCATCCATGGTGACCTTTCTGGAGTAGAGCGCTCCTGCGGAGACAAAGAGATCCGGGTGGAAGGGTGAATGTGAAGGGATGAGAGGATCAATCGTGGCGGGGACTCGCTGGTGGCAAAGGCAGTCAGATGAATGGGGGGGGGAGGGAAACCTCACCTGTGTTTGCTTCATAATCTCCAATGAACCTCTTAGTCAGAAACCTGACAATCAGAGCTGAAAGTGGAACAGAATTTGTCAATCAGTGACGTAAAGATGAGGAAGAAGAGCAATGGAAAACACAAAATCTTACCAAGTATTTTTGGTCCAGTTTCTAGTGCAAATATCTTGGTGCACTTGAAATAAGGCAAAACTAACTCACAAGTAACTTTTCAGCAAGAAATAGGAGCTCCTTTTAAGTAAATAATCCCTCAATATTGACAAAAAAGTACTAATACATTGGCAGATTTTCACTTTCAAATGAAAGCAAGTGAAACAATCTGTCAACTAGAACATTTTCATCATTATCAAGGAATTATTTACGTAAAACAAACTCCTGTATCTTGTTGAAAAGTTACTTGTAAGTTAGTTTTGTCTTATTTCAAGAGCACTAAGATATTTGTATTAGAAACTAGACCAAAAATACTTGGTAAGATTTTGTGTTTGGTCATTGAAGTCTCATGGTGACACACTGGATAACATCTAGAGACGCTGGTGGGTCATTGCATCTCTCTGACTTCAATGTATTGTATTAATATTCTGTGTGAAAGTGGTAAAAGTGACAAAAAGGGTGAATGATGACCAGAATTTTTCTTGCCACAACACACAGTGAGCAAGATGGTAAATGAGGTAAAAGAAAATCTCCAAAAGTCATTATTAGAGTTACTACAATGTAAATTTCTGTCTTTTTTTTTTTTTTACCCTTTTCTTAACAGTGGTGCCATTGAATGTGGTTTGGTAGACTGAGATCTGACAAAAGATGGTGTTATACTGTGTGAAGGCACAGCAGTAATAACTCATGGATTATTAGCCGAGGTAATACATTATGACATGTGATGCTCTTCTTTTCCAGACAACTGAGTTTGATGATTCTCCCAGATTTGCTACAGAGAGTACATTCCTGCCTCATTGGACATGTAGTGTGGATTACTCACTGTTGTTTTCCCAGCTGAAGCATTTAGTTCATCTGGTGTAAGAAAACTGTTTAGCTTTCTGACTCTAGCTAAAAAAAAGGGGGGGAAAAACCCCACAAAATGCAATCAAATGTTTCTCTGGGACCTTTAGCATTTTGGTAATTTGTGTCAGTTGTGAGCTATTGCCGTCATGAGAATCTGTCTATCTCGAGTTACATATAGGGCAAAAAATATGAAATTATGACACTTGGAATAGATTAGTCAACAATTATTTCACTCCAAACATTCATTGATCTGTAGCACAAACTAAATATATTAAAGTGTACAGTTGTGACCTGACAGAGCTGGACAAAAGTTTAAATATTTCAGTGATAACATTTACCTCGTGGAATTTGTGTCTGTATGATAAATGAGCTTTCTTATAAAGTGCAAAATAATATAATTCTTAAATTTGTCAATGTTAATTTCCAACCACTAGATATGTCTGTGAAGAAACCTGCCCTCTAACAGAATATTTCTAAAAGTCATGTTTTGTTAAACACAATGTTTCAAAAAATTATTTAACACTGTGACTGACATCATCCACTAAAACTGAATTTCCAGGACTTTCAATATATATATATATATATTAAAGTTGTTATTTTTATAAATATTATGTGTAAATCATAGAAATGATTATGTTCGTACCTCTATAGCCAACTACATTGTATTTTATTACACTCACAGTTCATGAGTGATATTAATTAAATTTAAATTTTGCTTTATTTTTTATTTATTTTTTTTTTTTCATTTTCAGGAAATCAGTGCTGTTTATCGCCCTCTGTCGTCGAACAATGGTAGCACTTTATTAATTCCTCTGCCACCTAAAAATTTGACAACTAATTGTTTCTCTTTAGGTGAGCGGAGCCACTATGACCTTGTGGTCATAAAAACGGTTCGACTCCATTTATCGCTTGAATACAATGCAACTAATCCGAATGAAAACTTTCCCGGATACACAAGAATAACTGCATCCCACCGCCATACCGGTTTTCCCGACGTTACTGGCGCCCAGCACCACGATCTTCACCGTCTTGTTGGGGACGCAGTCCAGCAGGGGATACTCCGGGATGGGGACCAGCAGAAAGTTGCCAGACCCGCTGCTGTTCATACTTCCCGGGGCAGAATCGCCAGACAGCCGCATTTAGCTTCCCTCTGAACCCTCAGAACTGCTCCGAGCTTTATGGGGGAAATTATAGCAAATTCCTACGACTCTGGGAGAAATCACTCCGTGATTGTATTCCTACGGTTAATCCAGATGTGAACCAAAAAAAAAAAAAAAAAAAAAGAAGAAGAAGAAGAAAAAAGAAAAGAGAGAAAACAATTCCTCGTTTTCCGCAGAGAACGGCAGCTAGAAACTGATCAGCAAAATTGGTTTGCCCTAATAATTCCCAGTTATTATCCAAGTGTGCCACAATTTCTTCCAAGTCTTTCTCTCCTGGGGTAAAACTGACTTTTAGCTCCACAATGGAGGCATCATTAAACGCGTTACTGATCCATTTTTACGCTTTAATAGCTAAAAGGAAAACGATCCGGTTCCCGGAGATTCCAGATGCCTCTGGCTGTGGATAGAGAGCAGAAGGAGTGATGAGAGGGAGGGATGTAGACTTTGATCCGTCCCCTCACATTTTCCCGGGAGACCAGTGGGAATTCGACCTGACTTCTCAGCCTGGACAGCCTAATGCGTTATAAACGATGACAGCACCAGCATTAAATCAAGTGGGATGAAGAAAAGGTTTAAACAAAGAGGTGGATTGGGATTTTAAACCATCACTCTTTAAGTTGGTGTTCCATCACTTTTTCTCTATCTGGATACTTCTGTATGGAAGTCCGTCAATGTCAATTGTAAGAGAGAGAGAGAAAGAGAGAGAGAGAGAGAGAGAGAGAGAGAGAGAATGAGAGAGAGAGAGAACCTAGATTTTACAAAACAACAACAAACTAAATCTTACTTATGTTCTTTATAAAATAATATGACATAAAAAGATTCATTATTATTATTATTATTATTATTATTATTATTATTATTATTATTATTATTATTATTATGTTTGTTTCAGAGGATTCTTGTTTGAATGTAAGCCGTGCAATGTCTATTTTAGAGAAATAATACTTCTATATTCTGGGACTATATTGCACACATACAATAATCTGTATATGTGCTTAATTGTAGTATTTTGTCTATTAAAATGAAAAAAAAATTGTGAGATGGAAGAAAATCAATTAAAACCAATAGATAGATAGATAGATAGATAGATAGATAGATAGATAGATAGATAGATAGATAGATAGATAGATAGATTGATAGATAGATAACAAACCCCAAATGCAACATTATTTATTTTATTGCTTAGTTTTATCTTATTTGTTGTTTTGACGTTTCTTTAGTGATTTGCATTTGGAGAATCTTCTAATTCAGTATAACTATTGTACTGTGAAATAATATTAAAGACATGCATCAAAATGTTTTGTTTTGTTTTTTTAGAAAGAATTTATATAGTTCAGAGACTACTGAGATAAAACTATCTTATTGTTATTGCCTAAAACAGCTACCAAAAGTCTTCGAGAGGCAGATAGTAATTAATTGACATGCAATCCTTAAACGCCGCCCACCAATCCGACGCCCTAAAAAGAACCGAACCAATACTTATGCGCAAGTAAGTAGTTCTTCAGCGACACTCCCTCACAACCTCCGAGAGTGGACGGCAGGAAACTAAACTACAACAGAAAAAAAACAGCAACTGAAGCGGAAACTTTCTGCTTGCATTTTCAGAATAAAACAGCAAAGATTATTGTGGTTTTGACACTGTTTGCAGCATGAAGCAAATAAAAAAAACGAAACAAAAAATAAACAACAACTTTTTGTTCAAGACACGTGCAGTTTTTAAAATTATTTTAAAACAGACAATTAAATCGGCGGGGAGAAGGTGATGTCACCACATGACCAGCCTATAACAGTGTGTCGTTATTTAGCCACAACATATCACAATTTGGCAGCATTATTGCAATATTCTACACATGAAGGTCACTATGGTGCTGAATTTTTTTTAAAAAACAACAAAAGCTTGTAAAGACATAAAAGACTGGTGCTCATATTTCAGTTTTCAGCTATAATGTGCAAACTTGAAGGAGATGAACATTTCAATCTGTCTTCATCGGAGAAACAAGTGAACCCAACAACAAGGCCATTGAGTCATTCGTCATAATAATTGGCTACAGCGTCACAATATAAATAAATAAGTAATCGACAATATGTTTGCCAACAGTATGTCACTATTTGGCAACAACGTAAGTGTCATAATAAATGGTATCGCAAAATCAACAATACATTTGGCAACAGCATGTCACTATTTGGCAGTGGCGTCTCAATAATCTGCAACAAAACCAAAATAATGGACAATAACGCCAGTAAAAAATGGGGCATACTTTTATCCTATATACACGGTTCAACAAAAGCATCAAATTATCAACAATATTTTTGGCAACAGCATGTCACTATTTAGCATCAGCGTTTCACCGCTTGGTAACAATTTCTCACTATTTGGGTTTCACATCTCTATTATGTACGACTTGACCTATCTCACGTCAGAGGGCGCTGTGGAGCAGTTTGGCCACGCCCACTTAATTCCATTAAAATTATTGGATTTCAGACCATTTTCTGTAAAGTTTGATGAAATTTGGAACGTGTTTAGCCCCCAAAATTTGCCTTTTTGTTTTGTTGTAATGTTTTAAATTATTCTGAAAGGTCATACCGGAAGCTCTCACTGTCGTTCCCTTCTGCTTCACTTTGACAGTACCGATAGGGGCAGCAGGCAGGTTCGACTCGCCCTCCCGGAACTCTGCAGCCGCAGCGGGTCTGATTATTTTAACATCGGGGTTCGGTCCAACATGGCGGCGCACGGATGGAAATACTGATGACAGTCCGAAAGATCGCCTCGATTTGTACGATGGTAAGGAGGGCAAAGCGGGTGGTTAGGCCGGTACCGTTCGCTGCCCGGGTCTGCTGAACCCTGACTGGTCTCATGCTTACGGTTAGCTGTCCTGCTGCTGCTAGCCTGTTTGTTAGCCTCACAGAACAACATGATAAAAACACACAGCGTCCCCAGAAAGTTGTTCGGGCCAGGGCAGCTTTCCGGGCCCGAACACGCTGCTGTTTGGAGAGTTAACGGGATCGTGTTGTGCTCACACCGGCTGTGTGTGACAGTTAGTAAGCAGCTTCATCTTGGTTGTGGTTAGTTGGACTGACTAAATGGTCGGGAAACAGCTAGCTTAGCCTGCTAGCCATTTGGAGTTCTATTTTGGGCTGAAGTTGCTGTCATATATATATATAAATGAAACTTACAGTTCCTGCCTACACGTCTGTACTTTCCCTCAAATAGCAGAAATATAACAGAAACCAGCGAAGAACTGCGCTGCAGAGGATGTAAACACCTCAAGGCAGCTGATGCTGCTTTGAGCTTAAGAGGGTGAAATAGAGGATAGAACCTGAATGACTCAGTAAAAACCCTAATAGTTTAATAAAAGCAACAGGGAGCTTTATTCGGTGAAATTAAAAGGAAACAATTGTTAACACGTTTTCTAAGACCCTGTGGAGGTTCTGCTGTCAGGATGGCAGGCAACGCATTCCTCAAAGACACGCACATTCTCCACGGAATCATGTTTATTAAAATCAAAAGCTCCCGTTGAAATACCCTGAAACGGGTGCCGTGGAAAAACACCAAACTTTCGTTGTAGCATTTCTGTGCTTTAATACGTACCTGTTGCTGCACACTGCACACTGCCAGTGAGCTGGCTGAAAAACAGTCTGCTACATTTTTTTCCCCCAGCCAAACCTACAAAATGAACATATTCAACTGTTTGGGAGTATTTTCTGTTGTATGTACACTCGTGGTGTGATATTTCTGGATATGCTAACACTGATTTCATGATCTCATGGAATAACACAAAAAAAATGTCAAAAAATGTATAACTTGATTAATTATTTCTATTTAAAGTTAAAAGCCAACTATTATGCTACTGATATTAAAACAATGCAACATGATTTATGATATAGCAATGTTATCTACCCATTGTTTTCTTTGGACACAGTAGCTGTGCTAAGTCCCTGCTAGGCATTAGTTGAGTAATAAAGCTATAACAGTCTGTTGTTAGCAGGTCAAATAGTTAATTAGCAGCTTTCTTCTGAATGATTTTGACTGAGCTGTCACTTTTGAGTCTATTTGTAGTATTCATGTGCTTTCAAATCGCCCCTCAGGGACAAATAAATTAAACTGAATTAGTCAGGCTATCTGCTCAAGCCTACAGATGCTTGTTTTAGCACAAACAGCGTCATTTGTCTTTCTTTTAAGCGGCAGGGAAAAAAAGTATTATCTGCTAAACTTCTGCTGTTTGTAAAACTACAAGTGCCAAGCTAAAGTGTGGGAGCTGTGTTAAGCTGCTGACTGCAGGCTGGCTATTTAAACAGATCGCCTGACTAATTAACTTCCCAATATGAGCTTTGGTGTGTTTGTGTTCCTCTATCAAGAACAGAACCGTGAGAACAGGTTTAATACTGAGCTCAAAGAAGAGTTTGGTTTAGAGGGTAAGTTCTGTCATATTTAATGCTTAAGTTTATATCTATTGGCTGGTAAAACAGGAAGTGGAGCTGAGTTAACTTTTTTTTTCTTCACACGTTTAGGGAATGCAAAATGCTGCTGCTGTAGATTGAAGGTCTTCACCAGATGATGTTCTTGAGTAAAAATCCCTTTTTGTTTGTTCTTTCATTGTTCTTTCAACATCAACATGTATCCCTAATGCTGCTAAAATGAAAGAGCAAATTGATTATTGCTAGTTTTTGAAGAATTATTCATCTTTTTTTTTGATTGTACATAAAGTTAAGAAAGAATATAGAATAAAAAAAAACTTTAAATTTAGTCATGGTATTGAAGCTTTCGTTAAAGCTGGATTTTTTTTTTTGCTTTAAGTGAGAACAAAGCTTTTTTTCAGCCACCTGTCCAGCAGTGTGCAGGAACAGGTTGGGGTAGGGAACAGTTATTTATAAGTCCAAGGCAGCTTGAAATTTCCGTCTCGCTGTTGGTTTGAAAAAAATAAAAAGAAAGGAAAAAGAAAAAAAAGAAAAACTCTCACCACGAGAACCATCCAGCGGTCGAATGTTAGACTCTTTCTCACGCCTAAGATAGTCTGAAACTCAGCTGAACAACTTGAGATAGCATATTAATAGAGTAAAGATGTTTACTTCATAGTTTTAAGTCAACACTGCCGCGCTTTCATTTAACTTCCGTTTAATGCATTTGTCTTATGAATAATTCTTCTATTCACTTTCATTTCTAACACTCGGTTCCAAGCTGTCACTTTAAACCGGCAATGACAGTGTTAATAATTAATGTCTTTGTGTGTTTTCAGCTCCTTTTTTTCACCCTTTTTTTTGTCTCCTCTGCCTTTCAAACATCAGAGAGTTAGTTTGCTGTGTCTTGTTGTTTACAACCTCTCGGCTGTTCTGAGGCAGTGTTTGTTGGATAAATAACCTCAGCCCAGACAGCAACCCATTGTTAGCCTCTTGTTGACTTTACATGGACTGCAATGTGGCGCTGAGCTCCGCCGCTGCAGTTTATCCAGCGACCCCCTGAGGGGAGAAGCTGCATCATCATCACTACTGCTGTCATCATTGTCCTTTGTTTCTGTGTCTCTGCTCCCACCAAAATATGCCTGAAAGAGCGTTTTGTAAAGCATTTAGGTTTCTGTTTTTGTTCTATATTGTAAGATATGTCTGAATGATTGTGCATTAAGGCCAAGCTGTATTAATTGGCTACATTAACATTCACAGGTTGAACTAAAAACACCTTTTCTCTTCCTCTGCCTCAGACTGTCCTCTAGTTTTTCTTCACTCCTGAAAGTAGCGCAGCGCACAGTGGCCAGCTTCCAGCAGCTGACATCTCTCTATTTTTTAAACAAATAATATAAATTTTAACGCTTCATGCTGTTTAAATTGATTCCAAACTCTGATTATGGTTGGTATAAGTGCATAGACGTAAGCTATATGTTTAGCTATATTTCATATGTGAAACATGCAACCATATCGTGGTAGCATTTCATTTTGAAGTTGTGGTGGCTTTTATTTAGCTGTAGCGGTGCGTCACGATCAGTTACATTTAGAGGAAACCCTAGAAATGATCATGAAGTTTTATTTATTTACTTGCTTTCTCTGTAAAGTCACATTTTGTGTTGTTCTTGTAGCAACAAATTGACTTCATCAAGATGCTAACGTGAGGTTGTTCTGATACTTCTAAAAGCGTTTTGGGGAATTATGACACTCGGCGGTCCATCTCATCACCAACACAATAATAAAAAAAAAAATAACTTGATCGTGAGGAAGGGATTTTTACAACTGGATTCCACCAAATACAGAATCTTTAAAAGTGGGCTGAAGGATAAAAAAAGGCTGCAAATCCTGCTTTGTGTGTATTTTTGGGTTGATGACATCACAAGAGGCTCACAGGTCAGGCTACTGGCGTTAGTAAAGATGGCCGATGAGGGACATCTGACAAGTTTGGAAACGGATTCAACTTTCTATTTAATTCCCGCACATATATATTCACCAATTGAAAACAAGTAAATGCTGTATCTTACTCACATCACCTCATGGTTACACAGTTTTCCAATTAAGTGGACCTGCAACATTCTGGTTGGTAGGTTGTGGTTTTTTATTTCCTCCTGGTGTTAACTGACAGGGTTTCACTTGGATGACTGACTCTCTTGCGGTCATTTTAGGAGGAAAGTATCAGATGATCTCACAGTGCTGAAGAAAACATCTGTATTGGGACTTGAAAGTGCTTTGACCCTGTCAAACAGACCAGATAGGTTTCATTGAGGATGGGCATTTATCGTATCACGTATTGTGATAAAATTGTTATTGTGATCAGAATTTTGTTTAATGGTTGTCATGATAAATTCCAATTATTAATGCTTTAAATTGCCCAAAACTCTCTGTATTGTCAGGATAGATCATTTTGCTATCTTTTATCAATTAGAGTATCAATAAATCTGAAAATATTAGGAAATGCAGTTTCTGTGAGCAGTTTAGCGATATAAATCACACCAAATGTTTTTCAAGGGCAGTTTTTGATTTCTGTGTCAGGCAAACACAAAGTATCGTGATAAAACTTTAATACCATTTCGCCACCCCTAGTTTTTATAAATATTTTGACTGTAAATGATTGTTGAAGACCTTTTTATGATTTTAGCACTATGGTTACACAATATATCGGTATTGACATCGATATCGACTGATTTTAGTCATTTTTCAATGTATCGAAATAAGTAAACCTAAGCCAATATTAACAACCGATGTTTAAAGTCATGTTGCTGTTGCTTACGTTTCTGGTCATGCGTTTGTTTAACTGAAGAGGTTAAACAGTGGTTCAGTGGTCGTATTTCCCAGGTTGATAAAAGAGGACTGAAATGAATATAATATCTATTGTAATGGCAGTTTTAGTATCGGTTACCAACATAGACCCGAATTATTGGGCCATAGTTTCAAAAAAGTCAACCGAATTTAAAAACGGACCATGATGTGTCGTTTTGTAGTTTGCAAACCATCTAAATTGAGTTTTATTAGCTGTTTTAAAAAAGTGCTGATTGCTGCAGGGCAGTAGGAAAACAGGAACAAATAAAAGACTAGGAAACTGTAAGGAATGGAAAATCTAGTCCTGTCTGTGGTTACTCATTTTTTTTCTTGCTGTGATAAGAAACGTTTAAGTAAAACATTAATTCTGCTGTTTTCTCCTCCCGACTTCTTCAGGGCGCCAATGCCTCTGCCTTGGAAAAGGAGATTGGACCGGAACAGTTTCCTGTTAATGAACACTACTTTGGATTGGTCAACGTAAGTATTTCTGAATACTTACGTATTCTAGGCTTCTGTTTTTGTTCTATATTACTACTAGCTAATGACGTGCCTGCTCTGATACATACATGCATACATTCACATATATATATATATATATATATATATATATATATATATATATATATATAAAAGCAAACCTAGATGGCTGTACTTCATTTGTGTTAAATGGATGCTAATAAAGCATACGCACTCTAAAGAATCTCATCCGCCTCCCTGTTCTTTTTCCTCTCATCTAGTTTGGCAACACCTGCTACTGCAACTCGGTGCTGCAGGCTCTGTATTTCTGCCGACCGTTCAGGGAGAAGGTGCTGGCGTACAAGGTGAGTGTTGAAAACAGAACTCGCACACCGGTGGCCACATGGATTTGATTCAGATGCTGACCTCAAAGCTGTCAGCGGGCGGCCAAAAAATACTGATATCAGGAGGCTTTATGACGAGTTTCTGGAAATGGGGCGCAAAAATAGGGGTCAAAATAACAACAGCAGATACAGAAACTATGCAGCTGATGAGCTGCAGAAAGGTATACTTGGACGAGACGCGTTTGTTCCTATTTCATTATTTGAGGTAAAGTGCTTGAGGAATGAAGCGCTTTCCCAGTCAAAATAACACAGTTCTTGTGTTAGATTTTTTAAAAGTGGTATTATTTTGTAAAATTGACTTTTTTGAGCTCTACATCATGCTGTAATGTTATTCCCTCATCAAAAATACACCTGGAGTGTTGCCTTGATTCCTTCATGCATGTCTGAGAAAACCTTTTATCTCCATGGCAACCTTTCAGCTGTGCAAAAGGACCTGGATGGACCTAGGGCCTCCCCAGCTCCTTCAGACTAGCCAGCAGCAATTAGCATACACCTGGTGGAACCTAGCAGCTGCTGACCTCGTTATACTAGCTACTTAAAAATGTTCTTAAAGGGTTAGTAGAGGAGCGATGTGTTGACTTCCTGTAGGCGGAGTTTCAGAAAGAGCAGGAGCTTCTCAAAGAGACAGAGGCCCAATTTCAAGGCATTAAATTACAAACCCAAATTCCTCGAATTTGAGTTCATCTGAAGGTAACATAGTTACTTCATCACGCTAAAAAATGGAACATACGTAATACTGTCCCTTTAAATTATAAATTAATGTGAAATGCCTTCCAGATACAATTTATTTCTCTGACGCGAGTATGAAAATGTTTGACAGGAAATGAAAGAAGGTAGAAATGAAACGATTGGGTTCAAAACTGACCAAGACTTTTTAAGGTGCAACTTGCCTTAAAACCAGATGACTGCAAAACTGTAACCCACGTTAAAACACATGTCAGCTTGTTGTTAAAGACATAATTGGAGGTTATGGAAGCCTTTGTGACTCGTGCCGTTGATCTCAGGTGCAGCCTCGGAGGAAGGAGTCCCTCCTCACCTGCCTGGCCGACCTCTTCAACAGCATCGCCACCCAGAAGAAAAAAGTCGGAGTCATCCCTCCCAAGAAATTCATCTCTCGGCTAAGGAAGGAAAACGGTAGGCATCGACGGGGGGTGGGAAGGCAGGCTTATATCAAGATGCAGAATAATCTCATAGAATATTCATGGAACGGCTTTGGAAGAATGTGCAGCTGCCACTGATGTCAGAGCGCGAAGCATCCTGTAATCTCACTGGGAAGCATTTAGCACCAAGTCTTCAGAACAAAGACATTGAGTCATTGAAACAAACTTCCTTTCATGGTGGTGCAGCACAGCTGAGAGTACTGATGCAAGCAGCGGCCTTGGAAAAGCGGAAGAAGATGGGGACGATGGATATCAGCTGAGAAGTTAATCACACAGCTGAGGCAGTCATATTGTCGGTGAAATCACAGAGCAGGAAGCAAATCAAAAGAATGGCACACAGATGTCACTTGTCTCTGAAACTTTACTTTGCTTTAAAGGTTTCTTTTTCCCTACAAAAGTAGTCATACGTCTTGAACTTATCCAACGCTTTGTCCACATTACAAACACAGACTGTAATGGACATAATTGGGATTTTATGTGAAGTGGAAAAAGAAAAAAATACATGGGGATTTTCTGTGACAAGACCGCCACAAAGTAGTGCATAAGTGTAAGGTGGAAAACAACAGGACTTACACGGGTTTTGAAAAAAGTTTACAAATAAAAATCAGAGGAGTTTGGCATGTATTTGTATTCTGGTCCAGTAGAACCAGATTTCACAGGAATCACATCTGCATGTTGTTTTGGTTTGTGTCGACCAACGGTGTATACCTAGAGACTGAAGTAGTTCAAAGCTCAGTGGGAAGTGTAGTGAAGCACCCCAAACTACCAAATGATAATTTCTAACACAAGAATATCTTTTATCTAAACCAGTACGTCTGAAATAGTGGGGCTAAGAAGCAGAAGGGACTTCATTCTTGTTTTTAGTCTTGCTTGACTGATAATCAAGCCTCCGGTCACTAGGGGGCAGTAATGTTCAAATGACTCACTCCGTCGTTTGTGACAGTGAAAAGAATAATGGCGGCTGAGGTTAGTAAACCAAATATGACAGCGTTTTGTGACCAAGCTAGTAGTTATAGTATTAGAAGAATAAAGACTCAATACTGATGGAAGAAAGTCGTAAAATTACGAGGAAAAACTCGCTTTAATTAAAAAAAGGGTTCATTAGAGTTATCGACACCTCATAAAGTCCGTGATTCGTTCTTTGAAATGGACACTCGTTTAACAATCGATTCAGCCCTGCGGCTGATAATAATTTGATATGTTAAAAGCTTATTTCCTTGTAAAATTAATTATAATCTCACAAGAAGAACATTTTTGGGCTCTGCTGGCCTTTATTTGAAAGTGAAATGACAGGAAAGTAGCTTGTGAGAGAGGGGCAAAGGTCAACAGAATGAGACTCGAACCTGTCATGGCCGCATAGAGGACTGAGGCCCACATAGATGAACCGCCGCCGCGTCCAGCATTCCTCATTTTACCGTAGTTTGGTGTACGGTTCTCATAAAATTACAATTTAAAACCTTAGTCTGGCTCTTATACTCCGTCTATCATCATTTCATATCTTCTGACAAGCTGAAATATTACCAATATTGTTGTAAATGTTGCACCAAAAGTGTTAAAAAGCTATATACTTTTTGAAAAAGAACAAACCAAAGAAGCTAAGTAACCCATGCTTACAGTTTAAAAAGTTTTACATCCTAGTGACTCAGTTGCACTTTTTCTCTTTTGAGAACCACACAGACTGAGCAGTCTTGATTAAATGTTACTTATTGAGTTAGAAAACTGAACTTGAAAATTGTTCCCAGACTTACAACATTTAAGTTGTACAACTTAAGCTGCATGACAGAAAGCATTAGAGAAACACTGATGTAAACCATTCCACCACAGAACGGCTCTGGCTGTTTAAGATCAGTGTCTCGCTGGAAGGTGAACATGAATTTCCCTGTATTTAGCTCCATCTGTTCCCATGTCAACTATAACCAGGCTTCCTGTCGACCGGCCCGGTCGCTCACATAAATCTGTGGTCGTAACACGATCGAGTGTTTATCTTTCTCCTTGACGTGTCCGCATCTCTCCTCCCCAGAGTTGTTTGACAACTACATGCAGCAGGATGCCCACGAATTCCTCAACTACCTCCTCAACACTATCGCAGACCTCCTCCAGGAGGAGAAGAGCCAGGAGCGACAGCACAACGGAAAACTGGTGCAGAATGGGAGCGGATGTGGTGACGGAGGGGGCGGCGGGGGCGAAGGCGACAGCGGGAAGGAGACGCAGCAGACGTGGGTCCACGAGATCTTCCAGGGAACGCTGACAAACGAGACGCGCTGCCTCAACTGCGAAGCTGTGAGCTGGGTTTTCACGTCAGCCGGTCCCTGCAGGAAGTTGCGATTAACACAAGTTCACTCCTCGTTTGATGGCCTGTCGTAAGAAATTCTGCTGGACGATAAATCGTCCCACAGCTTATTGCGATAAACGATAATATTGTTGTTTTGAGGCCATTTTAGGCTATATAATGGAAATGGCACAATAATGCAAAAGCACATTCTCTTTAATGCTGGAACTGGAAGACATTTTAAATAAATAAATAAAATATCAGAAACAACAAATAAAATTAATTACAATTTTGTCTGTAAACAAAATTGTTTAAAAAAAAAAAAAAGGTCCGGTTGAAACCAGCGCACCAGATTGGAGAAAAACGATAAATCATGCAAATACAGGTTATTGAACTTTAAGTTAAATCTATTAACAGGTTAACAGCTTTATTGCGACAGGCTTATTTGGCATGGACTTGCAGTTTTCACCATTGATTGCAACTTTTCGACAAATCTGTTGTTCCTTCTTTCCTGACCAATGCAACTCGACTGAATTATGAACAATCCCTTTCACCTCCGTCCAACTTAACGTCGTGTTCAAGTTGAAAGTGTTGCTAAGCGATACCATTTGCTCGCAGGTACAATGTAGAAACCTGATTTTTTTTTAAAAACTATCTTTAAATGCACCATTCACATGCTGCCACCGGTTACACTGCTGCTGGTCTCTGTCATATCCAGCAATTAGCCAGAGCCAAAAGACAAAAAGCTTTGCAGTTTTCTTCCAACTTGAGTCGAGTCCCTGTGCTGCATGCAGATAATGTTGGCCAGACGTTGACTAGTTGATCCATATATCATATTAAGCTTGGTAACAAGAATATCAATGTTGCTTATTTTACATTGCTTCCTAGTTAGTTAATACCAGGAATTAACCCAGTTCTCTTTAAAGAAATAGTTCTTCTCACTGTTGCTTCCACTTATTCAAGAGAAATCTTTATTGCCACAATAGAAAGACAGAGAGAAACAGGGGAAGGTTATGTGCAGCAACTTCAACGTTTTTGTAAAATCATGTTATGGCAAAAGGAAAGCAAAAATATTGCAACTTTAAAAAAAAAAAACGTGCCACAAAATCAACAATTTTAGGCCGCAGCAATAAAAAAAACAACAACCTTGCAACGACCTGGAGGGACTGATTAGCGCCGCCGTTGTTGGTCAGCAGTTGACCTGTTTTTGGTTGCTGCAGGTGAGCAGTAAGGACGAGGACTTCCTGGATCTGTCAGTGGACGTGGAGCAGAACACTTCGATCACACACTGTCTCAGGTTGTCCTGCTTTCTCTCTTTTCTTTTTTTTATTTCATCAAACCCAACAAAACAATGTTGGCTCTTAGTGAAGTTTTATGGACAAGTTCTCCTTTTTGTGCTCAACAGGGGCTTCAGCAACACAGAGACGTTATGCAGCGAGTATAAATATTACTGTGAGCAATGTCGCAGCAAACAGGAAGCTCAGAAACGGTAGGTGACATCACCTTTTCTATTCACGTCTCTTTCACATTCGTACAGCAGAAAACACGCAAATAAATCCAGCGGCGTTCTTTTCTGATGTGGTGGAATACACCTAATTTTTGTAGAGCAATTAGACCCACGATCATCGTCTTGAATCGTCCCTGTAGCTTTAATGTAATAACACACGTAACGTCTTTTGTGTGATACAAACGCTGAGAATAAAAAAACATCATATGATTCCTTTGAGCGCCCAAAAAACTTTGAGTGTTTTTTTTTTACTAACAGTAAACAAACTCTGGTAGGTTTTGTTCCATTAGAGATCAACCCTGAAACCACATCTGACGTCACCATGGCAGCCTGTCAGGGCCTTCCTGTTACATTCTGAGAATCGGTTTTGCGGGCGTATCTCTGGCCAGATGCCTGTTGGACGTCTCTTAACCCCCCCCAGACTTCCCTTGCATTAACAGCGCTGCCGCGTTTTTAGCTTTCTGCGGTTGGAAACCGTTAAGCGCGTCTTCTCAAGTGCTGCTGCATGTATTTCTGTACCGGAGAGTCAGCTAAGTGCACCAAGTAACATCCATTAAGGACGTAAAGGGCTATCAGCAGAGGCTGAACCTCGCATTAACGTGAAGGAGAAAGAACAGCAGAGCTGCGTCTGAATGAGGAGGAAGGAAAACAGTGAAAACATGCTGCATTATTCTGGTTATTCTGGAATTGCCTTGGTTGTTCTAAGTGATTTTCTGAAAGTTTTGGCCTTGAACTGACTACTAACAGCTTTTTAAAGTTTTTCTTGAAGGTTTTTTTTTTTTTGCAAGCTTTGTTTATTTTGAATCAAAACTTTCTGATCATCATCTGTGAACATGTGCAAAAGTTTGTCAAGTTACAAACAAACTTGAGCCCATTTTGTAGGGAGTTTTAGTGACAGACTGACGAGGAGTGTCCGATAAAGAGTAACATGGTTTTTCCTGTTCTTCTTGGTAAAAGGAGAATGCTTATGTCTGGTCACAAATTCCTTTTTGGGTTTAATTATGGACTTTTATTGACCATTTTACCATGAATATGCTTTGATCTGACCCATTCCACGTGTCTGCCTGCATGTTTGGGCCGTCGTCCTACTGAAAGGACAACTTCTTCCTGAAAGAACATTTTTATAAATGTTTTATAAAACCTCATCTATCAATTTTTCCCGTTTCACAATGATGTTCAACTTTCTGCTGGTTTATCATGTTTATTTCCAGGGAAACTCGATTCTAGCAGGACAAAATCTAAAACTATGAATTGTTCTGCAGCTGCTCTTCACTCTAAGTCTTTTTTTCAATGAATTGACTCACAAACATTTGCTGCGTTGTTCTGTCAGGATGAGGGTAAAAAAGCTGCCCATGATCCTCGCCCTCCACCTCAAGCGCTTTAAGTACATGGACCAGCTGCACCGCTACACCAAGCTGTCCTATCGCGTCGTCTTTCCGCTGGAGCTCCGCCTCTTCAACACGTCGGGCGACGCCACCAACCCCGACCGCATGTACGACCTGGTCGCTGTTGTCGTCCACTGCGGCAGGTAGGTCCAAAATTAGATCAGAGTTTTATTTTTCCTTCTGTAGTTCTAGATTGACAGAGTTTGATAATTACAGATATGCAAACGGAAGACTAGAAGGCGGGGTATTATGTAAAATCAACTTTTTTTTTTTTTAGCTTTATATCATGTTAAAATGTTGTTTTCTCATCAAAAACGTACTTGGAGTTTTGCTCTGACTCATCCATTCATGAAGATTTTAACTATGTCATCATGAAAACTACGCATTTCCAGTTTTTGAAAGTTAAGTAAAGGTTGCCCATCTTAAAGCACCATTTCAAAGACTAATAATTAGTTTGACTTCATGAAGTAACGTGGTTTTTAACAGGACACTTAATGGTCCAAACTGCAAACATAAGAGAAATCCATTGTTTGTGGTCCTACAAATAAAGTTTTCACAGTAAACAAATGTCTTCATAAACATCTGGTTAATATAAAATGGTCCAGTTGGGATTAAAGTTGAACTGGATGATCAAATGCTATAGAAATTGTTTTATTTTCCTAAATGGTGAAAGTTTACGGTCACGTGCCACCAATCACATGCTAACTTCAGTGTCATTTTTACAGATCAAAATTACCGTGAAACTGTGTTTTATGGGTTTCCGTAAGTAAATTCCTAGTCTTCTGTATTATAAGTAACTTTTAGAGTCGAAACAACATAAAACCATTGAGCTTAGATTTGAGTGAATCTGAAAACTGTAAATGGGAGGATTCAAGTCTGAAGCCTACTTCAGCATTTAAAAAAAAAAACTTTTTGGACTTTAAAGAAATTAACTAATCTGGTCTATTCCTACGTCACAGCTTGTTGCCAGTCAATGTGGTACAAAGTGATACCTGAAAGTTATTTTACAAAAGATACTTTTTATAAGAAATATTGTAATTTTTAATACAATGATGACAAGTACAATTTTGGGGGTAAAAGTTGCCAAGTTGCTGTCATCCATATTCAAATGTCCATTTGAATTTAATGTTTTATTCTTAAGCCACTTTTTTGAAACGATGTAAGAAAAATACATCAGTGCCTCATGATTTAATGTAAACCCAAAGGTTAGCCTGCTGCAGTTTGTAACAACTTGCTAACCACGATTAGCACGGATTTTATGTCAGTCTTCGAGTTTTAACTTGATTTGCTCTCTCGTCTGAAAACAGAAGCACACATTTCATCTGTTTGACGTAAACCTTCTGTCCTGTGTGTCTGCGCTGCAGCGGTCCCAATCGCGGACACTACATCACCATCGTCAAGAGCCACGGCTTCTGGCTGCTGTTTGACGACGACATCGTGGAGGTAGGAGCGGACGTTTCTAATTCAGTGGTAAAACGTTGAAATGTGTTGGACTATTTAGTAGTTCAGTGGTCTGTGTAAGACATTTAGAGCATTAATAATTGTGTGTTTTGTTTGTTTTTCTGTCGTTAGTCAAAGATTTACAGAGTTTGCTTGTTTGAAACACTTCAGACTTTCTCATGCAGCCATAACTGAGACGACTTTATAAAATGTTGGCTGATTTTTACAAGAGTCGCCATTTAAAACAGGAGAAAACTAAATGAGTAGTATAAAAAGGTTAAAAATAACAGAGCAAAAACTGATGTTGAAGGAAACCAATCAAAACTGAAACCGAGGCATTCCTCTGTAATATACAACATTAATATTAACATTGTTTCATTAATGGTGAGATAACACCATTAATAACTCCAGTGTTTTGTGTTGCGTTGTAAGCATTGACTGATAAATGTTGATGTTTAATTTTGAGTAATGGGTAGGAATAAAAGGGTAGGTGGATTTTCTACAAACGGTTAAAAACTAGGAGAAAAAAGGAAGTGGATTTTCTGTAGTTCTTGGATTTATTTTCCAGTTTTCTTGCCTTCAGTCTCTTTTTCTTCGTCGACATCCAGCTCTGCTTTTTTTCCAGTGGAAACGTCAGTCGTCTGCAGCAGAGGAGCTTTGCTGGTCAGGTCGACCTGGATATTTCTCTTTTGAAAATTGAACTTCTATCCGTGTTGAAGACAGATTTATTTTTAAATGGAAACAGAAACCAGTTCAGATTCATTCAGCCACTGTTTCTAAACATTTTCTTCTATTAAAACCTTTTACATTTTTGTTGCATCTGCGAGTTCTAACTACTGTATTTTATTTAATAAACCAGTAGTTTATTGAACTATAAGGTGAATAATATAGCAAAGTATTTTTCAAGTAATTGTTTAACTTTCCATTTGTAAAAGACTTTGTAAGCCATCCATCATTTTCTTTCCATTTTTAGTTTATCCTCTGCTTTGTCTGTCACTCAAAATCCCTTAAATACAGTGAAGTTTTATATTAAACATATAAAATGCCTCTCAAACTTTTATATTTGATGGGGGTTTAAATTTTTTTTTTAAGGGTGAATCCATTTGAAGAAGTGAGAGTAAACGTTTTGTTTTATACCATCTGCGCTAGAACAGAACCAGGACAGACCTTCAGGCATAATGAAGTTTGTTTTGATCGATACTCAAAAATTAAAAATCTGGGATTTTTCCCAGATTTCTGCAGCCAACATGTCCGACGGTCCGGCCCGGCGGACGGTCGTCCGGCCCGGCGGACGGTCGTCCGGCCCGGTGTTTATGAATGAGTTGTGAGATTTTCCTAACTTGTGACCTTTTCATAAACTCAGTTTGGATCACAGCGGGCTGTTCAGACCTGGCGTTGAGACGCAGTGGAAGCAGAGAAAGTTGAATAAGTTTTCCTCTGGTGTTTTTTAAGTAACGAGAGCAGGAATTTAAAAAAAAAGAGAGAGAATCAGATAGTAACAAACTATAAATTGCCACAAAAGAGGAACAGAGTAACAAGTTTAAAGTGCAGCCGTTTGCACAAGAGTGGGTTTAACACTAACTTTGTTTCTTGTTCTGATGTAAATGAGTTACAGCAAATGCTAAAAATCCCACTTTGAGGCAGAGCTTCGGTTCAGTGCTCAGTTTAGTTTGGCTGAATTAACCAGAGGAAGCGTTTCGCTGCATCATTCACCCGTTTTTATTTAAAGCTTGAGACGCATCGCCGTTCTGGTTGAGCGTGGAGAGAAGATCGCACTCTTTGAGGGCCTGGCGTTGGAAAACGATAGCGGGGTTTTTCAGCCGCTCAGACATCTGGTCTGGATGATTCTGCTGAACTCGCAGAACATAAATACTAACTTATCATTTTAATGCTTTGAGGAGATTTGCTGGGCTTCTTTTTTTGCCTCTCTCTGTTTAATTCTGGCAGGAACTGGGGAGTCTAAATTGAGCCTGAAAGCCTGAACTGACACCGTTTGGGGCGTTTCTGCCTGGAACTGAAACTTCTTCTGTGCTCCAAGATTTGAAGCTGCATTTCTTTCACAATCAGCCCAGAAGCTTTTAGTGTAGAACATTAACAGACCAACAAAATGGATGTCACAGGGTTTGCAAAGATTTTAGGTTGAGAAGAAATCTTCTAATGTTTGGGACATATATGCAGTAAAATTTCTTAAATTTTAAATGCATTAATCACAGGTCTTCAATTTAATATCATATATTCAGGTAGTTTTACCGTCAGAAGTTTGAGTCGCACACAAACATCTTCATTTCAGTTACTGCTAACTAGCTGCTATTGTACCACTAGCCGAGCTTGCTAGATTTTTTTTGTGTGTCTATCGTGAGTAAGTATAAATTTATTGCCGGTTGACGGTTTTGCTCACTTCTGTTGCCAACCCCTACGATGCTACCTGCATTCTGTACAAATAATGTTTAGAGCAACATGTGCAGTGTGAGAATCATGAAGCTCCACCAAGAACCCCAAACACACCATCACACTTTTGCTCCCCCATCATGGCTAAAACCCAGGAAACGGTTAGCACTGCTACGTAGCACTGATCTGAAAGGAGCGTTCGTTGTGACACAAACTTCGAAATCTGAGGGTTAGTGGGTTTTAAACCTGGTGGTCAAGCACCAGTCCTTATCTATTGAATAGGTGGGTAAGGTATTTCACCTGCATGTTGCTATGGAGGACAAATACAGCTGAGAAAAGGACCAGAATAGAGAGCAGCAGATGCAGCTATGATGACAAATAGGGAAACAAACCCTCCCACAGTCAGACGATCAGGAAGTGTTCCCAAAAAGACACAAAAAAAAAACTCGTAAAAGCGCACGCAGGGTTAGTGTGCATGCCGCCTGTTACCAAGGCTCTACTAACGCTTAGACTTATTTTATTGTCATTGCAGAAAGACACGTAAGTGAAACTGGCAGTGAAATGTCATCGCTTGGCCACCGGATCACACACAAAAACACAAGTGTGTCTATAATTACACAGCGTACAGATAATAATGTATTGCTACATATATATAACTTATCATTTTCAATCAGTCTTAGTGATGGGATTGTTGAGCAATCTGATGGTTAGTGGTCATTTTTGAGTTGGAGGGCGTGGACAGCAGCAGCTTCTTGGATTTAAAGTGACAGAGATCCTAAATCAGCTCCTTCTGAAAGGAGCTCAAAGTATGATCTCTTATCTAAGAATAATGTTGTGTTTAAAAGAAAAAATAAAGTGAAATGAGCATGTTTTGTTTTGCACATAAACCTAACTTCTTGAATTTCATTCATAGTGGTCTTAACTTTAAACGGTTTGCAGAAACCCTGGACTTTGGACAATGTTTTTATTTATTTTTGTTATAAAGCTCTCCAGACGCTTCAGGGAAAGCTGAATAAATATTGACCCAGCAATGCTAAAGATATTTGTTACAGAGGTCTGGAGAACAACCTGAGAGTCCCGACTGTGTCTCAGTTCAGACCCTGCACTCTTCCCTTTCAGAAAATCGACGCGCAGGCGATCGAGGAGTTCTACGGCCTGACGTCCGACATCTCCAAGAACTCTGAGTCCGGATACATCCTGTTCTACCAGTCCAGAGACTGACGCGGCCAGCGGTGAATTCCCCCAGCAGACTGTCTGGACTTGGCAGACGAGCCGCTGGCTGCCTCCCGTTCACTCACATGAGTATGCGGGCTTTATTCCCCCTGCGGCAGGGAGCAGCTTTGACCCCAGGGCGCCGCTTGGGGAAACGGCTTCGAGGCGCGTGCTGGTTGCATGCCAGCCTCCGGGATTCCAAATCCTCAGAGACCACACTGCAACAAGCACCTTAACATACCAAGAAACCCCCCACTGTCTAACACTCGCTTTGCACTGTGGCACCAGGAACGGAGACCACGACGCCAAACCGATCGTGTGTTTATTAGCAGCTACAGAGGAGGCAGCAGCTTCTTTCTGAGTATTAATACCTTGCTATGTTAGCTTCCCTCCTCAGCAGCGGTGGAACTGCCAGGTCATGTGTTCACCGGCCAGGAAGTGAAGCGACCATGATCTGACAGCACTGTTAGATGTCCAGCCAATCACCTCAGACCTCTCTGACATAATGTAGGGTTGGAGACCGAGCGCTGCGTGAAAAAGCAGCGTTTCTATGATCAGTGGCTGATAAGCAGTATCTTAGCGCAAGGGAGCCATTGGAGGGGTGGGAACACATCGCAAACTGATGAGCACAGCTCCGTATTTATGATGAAAGAGCTAAAAAGTTATTTTATTTTAAATATTCAAAGAACAAGTGACGTAAACTGACCAAAAATTCAATTTGCAGTATGTATAACTTCACCTTTTCAGTGTTTTTATCGGTTTAATATTGTCTTTCTTTACAATGTATTTTTATTTTATTTTAAGGTTTGCTTGGTTTTTAAGCATCAGGAGGAGCAACGAGTCTTACAGTAGCAACTTTTGAAAGCTGTCCTGTTGTAGTTGAATGAGGCTTGAAGGTTGGTTATGAAGTGGTGTTGTGCCATTAGGAGCCACGTTTGATGACATGATGGAGAAAAGAAGAGAGAAGACTGAAGGAAGAGCAAGTCTGAAAGAAATGCATTTTTAAAAAACCTCTAAAGTATCCACTTTAATTTCTCAGCAGACTCAGTTCTGATACACTACAAGGATCTTATCAATGTCTGCCTCGTTCCGTTAGCGATCCTATCGAGCGCTGCTTAATTGAGAAGAATCTTTTCGCGACAGGTTTTTCTCTCTGCGATCAGAAACGATTCCCCATTCCCACACAGGCTGCTATAAAGCAGCAGATTTAAAGACAGCCCTGTCTTTTCATTTAGTGGTGACGCGTTTAGAACCGTTCGACTCCTAACGTGTTTAAAAAACAAAAAACATTTTATCATCTCTGTGGCTTAAACTTCTCCCCAAGAGGTGAAAATGCTTTAGGGAACTTCTCCTCCCCCACATGTTACTTTGTGCTCCCAGCTGTGCATGTGCTGAGTGATGGCTAACTTTTTTCCCCTTTATCTAAAATAAAAGATGTTGATCTGTGCAGGGACTGTTTTGTACCTAATTCAAAAGTATATTTTTTATAATCAACGTACAACCTGTGAGAACTGTTTATGTAACTCATAAACTAACATTAACTCACCTAACACAATTATGAACCTTTTTGATCATGGCTTGAAAATTTCAATTAGCTAACACGGGATTGGCTCTGTCGTTTCTCTCTAAAAGGGATTAGCAACAAAATAAGAAAAATGGAACAAAGTGAATTTTACAGAAAAATAATAATGTATGTAGTTTTGAAATGTATAACAAATGAAATACAAATTGTCGATCCCTGAACTAAAACACAAAGTTGGCTATTTAACTTGTTTTTTGTTCATGAAATGCACAAAATGCTTTTGTGCATTTCATGA